AAAAGAGGTCGTTCTTGAAGAATGGAAAAAGATAAATATTGCAATATGTCACCAACTTGTTCATTCCATGCCTAGAAGACTTGGTGCTTTCCTTACAAATCATGGAGGTCATACAAAGCCATGCACTGATCTCCACTCGGCTTTATGAACCCAGAATCTACAAGCTTTCTGTCACTTCTGGGTTCACAGCTGCCAGTCCCCGGCAGCACAATTTGTACTTGTGCAGCTTTAGTGGGGGCACAGCTGACATTATGGATCATCAGAAATGTTCAGAACATCATAGTTGTTTATTGCAAAACCCATATCTTGATTGTCATGTGTGATATTCTAGGGGGGGGGGGGGGGGGGGGTGCCTTTCAATGTGGTCTTTTAATGTGATCTGTCTCTGATGAGAAGAGCTATATAAGCAGGGACAGACTCTATGAAGAGCAGGATGCGGGAAGGACGGACACTGTATTCCCCATATATGTATATGTAATAAACATCGTTCGGAGCCTCATCTTGTCTGAAGGCAATTATTCATGTTTCTTGTAAAAAAGAGGAACTTGAGCAGGGGGTACTAACCTCCCTACACATAAATAAAAGGGGGGGGGGGGGGGGGGTCAGACAAGATTAAAATATACCTAAAAGCAAAACTTTAGAATTAGAACCCCTGTCATGTTTTTATTGCTGTCTGACTGCTGGCAATTAGGGTGAAGTTCTGTCACCAAAACAGGAATAGAGGGGAATCCTCCAATGCCAATTATAGTTCTATTGACAGCCAAGTATTTCCTCGCTCTTCCTGTTTTGGCTATGGGAAAGGAAGTGACGAAAAATTGCCCAAAATTGGATAGATTGCAAAAAAAAGTGGCTTGGGCAACCCCCCTCCCTCCTTACTCTATCCAAAATTTAAAAAAATAAAAGTTTCGGCTTTAGTTTTACTTTAAACTTTGTTAAAGAACGCCACCTAAACATGACTTATCAGTGGCATGATAGAATATACGTCTCTGGGATCCGCTTGACAGATCACTGAAATAGCTGAAACCACTATACATGAAGCCAGGGGCGTATCTACCACAAGGCAAACAAGGCATTTGCCTAGGGCGGCATCTTTCAAAGGGCAGCACCTCCCCCCAGAAGAAGGGAACCAGGTGGAATCTGAAAGAGGCTGTCGGCTGCTTGATGGTGTATGTACAGCCTGACTCTCGTTCCCGGGTACGTCCAGAGCTGTGAAGATGGGTGTATCTCTCTCTATTGCTGGGGGGGGGTAGTCGAAGGCTCTCCCAGATGGGGGGGCATGAGTGTTGTTGGTCATTGTCAGGCTCTCTCCGCAAGAAGGGGAAGGGGTGGAGGTGTTGGTCAGTGTCCGTGGGGGCAGACGATTTTTGTGTTGCCTAGGGCAGCACAAAACCTAAATACACCACTGCATGTAGCGGACACTTAAAACCCAATGGCAGCACAGTGGCTAAATGGTTAGCACTTCCGCCTGGCAGTACTAGGGTCGTTGGTTCGAATCCCAACCACGGCACCTCCTGCCTGGAATTTGCATGTTCTCCCTGTGCCTGCGTGGGTTTCCTCCGGGTACTCCTGTTTCCTCCCACACTCCAAAGACATGCTGGTAGGTTATTTGGCTCCTGTCTAAATTGGCCCTAGTATGTGTATGTATGAATGTGAGTTAGGGACCTTAGATTGTACGCCCCTTGAGGGTTAGGGACTGATGTGAATGTACTATATATATGTAAAGCGCTGTGTAAATTGACGGTGCTATACCTGAAATAAATAAATCATACCAGGTGTGTTGGGACTGTGCTGGACACCTTGCCTAGTGCAGTCAATGCAAGACAAGGGAAAAAAAGATTTAGGGCCAGTTCACAGTCCACGCGTTTCAGTTTTTTCTGCATCCAAAATGCACAAAAAGTAGGTTATATGGCTGTCAATGTCCTAGTTCATATCACTGCTTCCAGTTTCAGTTCGTTCCAGTTGCAGAAGAAAAAAAAAAAAAAAGTAAAACAGGCTGCATTTTTTATGCACAGAACTGTACTGGAATGCAGTAAAACGCATCAAAAATGCACCGGAACTCACATGTCCCTATTTAACATGTAGAAAAAGAGGAGAAAAAAATGAACTGGAGTGCATAAAAAAAACGCACTGGAACGTGCCAAAAACGTGCATGCAATAACACATCCGGAATGCGTTTCTATAGAGTGAACCGGCCCTTAGGACTGGTTCACACTACAAAAATGCACTCCAGATACGTTTTTGCTTACAGTGCACGCCACACGCAGTTCTGGTGCAGTTTTGATGCAGTTTGCTATGTTACAGTACAGTTCTGTGCAGAAAAAATGCAGCATGTTCTACCTTTTTTTCTGCCAACTGACTGCACTTGTGTGAACTAGGACCCTTGGAATACATGGAAAACACTGTGCATGCAGTTTTTGATGAAGAAAAAAAACGCACTGAACTGCATCTAGTGTGAACTAGCCCTTATTCCATATCAGGTCCATGTCACACCGTGGTGCTGGTGTACGCTGAAAATAGTATAGCATGCAGTACTTTTTTTGTTTTTTTCTAGCAGTGCAGGTTGGGGTAAGGCTAGGTTCACACCTGTGTCATTTGTGTTTGATCCATTTCTGCAGTGCTTTTTGTGGTGTGTTTTTGATGTGTTTTTCTCCAACTTGTTGCTGAGCAGAATAAAACGCATCAAAAAACACACTACATGCATTTCTGCAGCATCTCCATTTTAACACATTCCACTGCCTCACGGTGGCCAATGGAACTTAACCACTTGCCTACCAGGCACTTATACCCCCTTCCTTACCAGGCCAATTTTCAGCTTTCAGCGCTGCCGCACTTTGATTGACAATTGCGCGGTCATGCAACATTGTACCCATATGAAATTTTGATCATTTTTTTCTCACAAATAGAGCTTTCTTTTGGTGGTATTTAATCACCACTGGGCGCTTTACTTTTTGCGCTATAAATTAAAAAAGTGCAAAAAATTTGAAAAAAAAAAAAGTTTATTAGTTTCTTTTATAAAATTTTTCAAACAGGTATTTTTTCTCCTTTACTGATTTGCGTTGATGAGGCGGCACTGATGGGCACTGATAGGCAGCACTAAAGGGCACTGATAGGCAGTACTAATGAGGTGGCACGAATAGGCGGCACTGATAGACAGCACTAATTAGGGGTCACGGATAGGCAGCACTGATATGCAGCACTGATAGGCGGCACTGATAGGTGACACTGATGATGGGTACTGATAGACGGCACTGACTGGCGGCACTGACTGGCACAATTCCTGGGCACTGACTGGTGGCACTGACTGGCAGCACTGCTGGGCTGCACTGGTGGGTGGCACTGGTGGGCAGCACTGGTGGGTGGGCACAGGTGGGTGGCACTGGTGGGCACAGGTGGGTGGCACTGGTGGGCACAGGTGGGTGGGCACAGGTGGGTGGCACTGCTGGGCACATGTAGGTGGCACTTCTGGGCACAGGTAGGTGGCACTGCAGAGTGGCACAGGTGGGTGCACTGCTGGGCACAGGTGGGGGCACTGCTGGGCACAGGTGGGCGGGGCTAGTGGGCACACTGCTGGGCGGAACTTGCGGGTGTCACTGCTGGGCACCGATCATCAGGGCACTGATCATCAGTGCCCTGATGATCGGTGCCGATCCCCGCTCTGACAACTGCCGGTTCTCGGCAGTACTTTCCTCACAATCTGACAGCGTGAGGAAAGTGCAGCCGAGAACCGGCACTTGCCTTTCCCTGTGATCAGCGTGTCATTGGACACCGCTGATCACGTGGTAAAAGGCCGGTGGGATCGGCCTTTCACCACATCACGTGATCAGCTATGTCCGTAGGACACAGCGATCACGGAGTTTGCCGGGTGCGTGCCCCCTGGGGCGCGCAGGAGAGCGCGTTCTGGGAGGACGTCATATGACGTCCACTCAGAACTGGCCGGCCGCGGTGAAGCCGTCATTCGGCTATGCGCGGTCGGCAAGAGGTTAATTAAATGTTACCTGTGACATTTCAATGAAGTACTAACACGCCAAAAAAAAGAAAAAAAACAATGTGATGCACCACAGTGGCCTGAATCACTTCTCCCAGCACACAGCAGCAATTGTGCGTCCAGTGCAGATTGCTAGTGTGAACAAGGCCAAAAAAAAAAAAAAAGTGCCAGTCTGCCATCATGTGGTAGATTTACAGATGAAGTTTAATCTGCTCATTTTTTTACATTTCGCATATAATCTCTGGTTTCTCACTCATCCCACCCAAATGGAATGACATTTTATAAAACCTTTCAGTTTTTATTACATGCATTCTTTGGTTTTTGGGAGTAGTTATGCAAATATGAAAATGCCTTAAACACTTCCAGTCCGGACACTTTTACCCCCTTCCTGTCCAGGCCAATTTTCAGCGCTATCACACTTTGAATGACAATTGCACAATCATGCAACACTGTACCCATATGCATTTTTTACAGGCATTTGTTTGAGACAGATAAAGCTTTATTTTGGTGCTATTTATTCACCACTGGGATTTTTATTTTTTTTGCTATATAAATAAAAAGTCCAAAAGTTTTGAAAAAAAGTGTTTTTCTTATAAAATTTTGCAAATAAATAATATTTCATCATAAATCTTGGCGAAAATTTCTTCCGTTATCTTTTTAGTAAAAAAAATAAATAAATAACCCAAATTAGTTTATAACCAAAAATTATAATTTTTAAAAATTATCATTTTTAAACTTTTTTTTACATTATTTTATTTTTTTATATGATTTGTTTTTTTACATACGGTCACCCTAGCAGTACAGTGTCACCATGGTGACACTGTACTACTTGTGGGGGGGTGATGAAGATTTTTTTTTTTTTTTTTTTTTACACTGATTGCTTTTATACCCATAAAGGCTGTAAAATCAATCATTTCTCCTTCTCTCTGGCTGCATTCTTGCAGCCATTGAGAACTACTGTGTGAGCTGTGATTGGTCACAGCTTGTCACATGGTACAAGGCTGTTGTGAATAGCCTTGTACCATGTGACCTCTGTGATCATTCACAGATTTCACATGTAGTAAGCAATGATGTCAGAAGTGACATCTTGCTTACTACTCTGCTTGTGATTACTGATTGGCCAATCAGTGATCGCATGATCAGGACCTCACACAGAGCTCCCGTCCGACGATCGGTGGGCACCGGATCGTGGTGCTGCGCGTTCCCAGGGAGCGCGCACAAGCAGGGGGCGGGGAGGCCGTTTATAAACTGCCACCCGACCCTGCACTGCCACCATCCAGGCGTTTATATACAACGGCCGGTCGGGAAGTGGTGGATGTCAGTCTGGAGGAGAGGGTGTAACTAGGCAGACTGTATTTGCATGCAGACCACCCTAGATAACGCCAACATGTAATGCACAGCCTCCATCACTGAAAGAATTAAAATCCAATCAATGTAAAGAGTGGAGCAGCGACAGGCAGGGGAGAAAAGAGACAGATGACACTGGACATCCTAGAACCAGAAAATGAGGTGGGCTATATCTGAATTTCTACAGATTCTAATACACACTGTAAGAAACTCAGCTGCCCCCGTCCTTCCAGTCCTGCATGCCTGGATAAGGGTCTAGTATGGATTTGGAGTGGAGGCCTTACGCTAATTTTTTTTCCCCCATTTTTGATGTGGGGGTCCCCTCAAAAACTATACAACTTGGTTATGGATTGGTGGGAGGCATGCCATTTCCCTACTGACAGTAGATGAGCCATGGTTGCTAAGCACGCGGCAGGTACCATCTCCCTAACAACCAGCAACTCAATGGTTGTTAAGGACGCTGCCAGGTGCCGGCATTAAAATACTGCAAATTTTCACTCCTGAAATACTGTATCACTTCAAGAAATAGTCTATGCAGTGTTTTAGTCGCAATTTTTGAGTGATTTGCAAAAAAAAAAAAAAAAAAACAATTTAAAAACCGCTATGAACTATTTTACCGCTGATCTTAAAGTGGTAGATAACTTTTTGTGATTTGAGCCCTATATCTTTAGGCTCATTCTGCAGGCTGAAGGAAAGAAATCTAACAGATTCTTCCATCAATGCTAAACAGTGCAGATAGAGGAATCCCTCCCGAGAGCTATTGTATACTGTCAGCTGGCAACCAAAGCTTCCAGAATACCCGAACAATGCAGGGATGTGGAATATATATCACCCGATGCCAGGGACATGGAGTTCTGGGTGTCGGGCAGGTAGCTTATTTCAACCTTTGGCCCCCACGGCTCACCTGTCAGGTGGAAGCATTTGGGCCAATTGCTTCCATACAGCCCTCAGTGCCAGCCTCCTCCCCGCACTTGCCAGGTCTCCCAGGCTCCGATTGCCCATCTGCGGGCCCAGGACTGGCTCAGTGTGCGCCGGCATCTAGAGGGGAGGGAGGAGAGTGAACACATCCGCTCCCCTTCTTGTCCTGACCCAGAAGTGACGTTTGACACCACTTCCAGGTCCCTATTCACAGATTCCCTCCCATTGAGGCCAGGAAAGAATGTAATGCTGTGTAATGTACACTGCATTACATTTAGGAGAGCAGAGGGGAGACATTGGGGGTCTTTTAGACCCTGGATGTCTCATTAAAGAGAACCTGTCACCAAAAAAATATCATCACATAGGGGAATTAATGTCCCCTATGTGATCGGGAAAAAAAGAAAAAAAATGTAGGTAGAAAAATTTTTTTTTTAAGAGTAAAAAAAAAAAAAAAAAAATCAAAGTTGCACCCAAGCACATAACACCCCCTCAAAAAAAAATAAATTGAGCCCCCCACATATACACATGTATAAACGTAAAAGCACACGCTGGGGCGCCTACACATGAAAACGACAATTGTGATACACGTTACATATCCCCTCGCATGCCAGGATGAGAGTTCCTCTGTAACACTAAACTGATGACCTATAAGGGGCTTTAGAAGGGTCGCCTATAAAAAATATAGGGTATGGAAGTTTGTTGGCATTTCACAAGCGCACACAAATTTAAGATTTGACATGTTGGATATATATTTACTTGGTGGAACCTCATCTTTTATATTTTGCTAAGAAAATAGGGTAATTTATTGCTTTTTTGTGCCTTCAATTAATTGTGTATTTTTTAATAATATCATGCGGTAATATTGTGCGACATAAAAAATTGGAACTACTGCTATTTTATTCTCTAGGGTCTCCGATTTCAGAAAATATATCATGTTTGGGGGGTTTTGTGTAATCTTCAGGCCTAAAATTACTTTTTAAATGTCTGTAAAAAACGCAAACACGGCTCTGGCAGCAAAAGGGATAAAAGATAAGCTGGACACACCCCTTTCCTGACAAGCACCCAATCGGTGCTCATTACATTGCAAGGTCTCTTTCCTCCCTGCTAGTTCCCGAGTGCAGTGCTGGAGACAGGCAGGGAGGGAAGGAGGAGATAAAACGGTGCAATGTTAAAAAAATGTAAACTGTTTAAGTTTCCATAAAGCCCATTTTTATTTTAAAATTCCCAGACATTCCTAACAGCACCTCAGATTTAAATACGGTTTAGGTTAAAAAAAATTTTCTTCATCAGGACAAGTAGATTGGGGCATCGATTTAGTCCCCGGACAAGTAATTTTTTCCGAAATGCCTGCACCTGATTGGATGTCCAGATGACAGTTTCCCACACGACTTCAACAAAAGACAACTGAATAATCGACTTTTGTTGTGCTGGGTGGTGCCGACAGGGGCATCCACACCTTGAATTTCCGACTATTCAGCAGAATTTCAACTGTGTATGACAGTCCTAACACTTTGCTACATTCCAGGAGGTGCTCTATTGGCTGCTATGAATCAATATCAAGGCTTATACAAGGAAACAAATGTAAATAAATGTATGTATTTTAATAGTGCCAACAATTTACGCAGCGCTTTACATATATATTGAACATTCACATCAGTCCCTAACCCTCAAGGAGTGTACAATCTAAGGTCCCTAACTCACATTCATACATACACATACTAGGGACAATTTAGACAGGAGGCAATTAACCTAGCAGCATGTCTTTGGAGTGTGGGAAGAAACCGGAGTACCCGGAGGAAACCCACGCAGGCACAGAGAGAACATGCAAACGTGGTTGGGATTCAAACCAACGACCCTAGTACTGCCAGGCGGAAGTCCTAACCATTTAGCCACTGTGCTGCCCATTTTTACTCTTGATATCAAGTGAATTTTTCCCATATGGGAATTAAAAAGCAAACATAACAAAAATGTAAATATCATTTTTAACATTTAAAGTGTATCTAAAAGCAAAACTTTTAGTTACACTTTAACCTCTTCCAGTCCGGACACTTTTACCCCCCTTCCTGACCAGGGCAATTTTCAGCTTTCAGCGCTATCACACTTTGAATGACAATTGCGCGGTCATGCAACACTGTACCCATATGAGTTTTTTACCATTTTTTTGAGACAGATAAAGCTTTATTTTGGTGGTATTTATTCACCGCTGGGATTTTTATTTTTTTTCCATGTAAATGAAATGTCCAAAAATGTTGAAAAATTATTTTTCTTATAAACTCTTGCAAATAAATAATATTTCATCATAAATCTTGGCGAAAATTTATTCCATTATCTTTTTAGTAAAAAAAAAAGCCAAATTAGTTTATAACCAAAAATTATAATTTTTAAACTTTTTTACATTTTTATATTATTAATTTTTTTTTTTTGTTTTTTTACATACTGTCACCCTAGCAGTACAGTGTCACCATTGTAATACTGTACTATTTGTGGGGGGTGATGAAGATTTTTTTTTTTTTTACACTGATTGCTTTTACACCCATAAAGGCTGTAAAAGCAATAATTTCTCCTTCTCTCTGGCTGCATTCTTGCAGCCATTGAGAACTACTGAGTGAGCTGTGATTGGTCACAGCTTGTCACATGGTACAAGGCTGTTGTGAATAGCCTTGTACCATGTGACCTCTGATCATTCACAGATTTCACACGTAGTAAGCAATGATGTCACAAGTGACATCTTGCTTACTACTTTACGTGTGATCACTGATTGGCCAATCAGTGATCACATGATCGGGACCTCGTACAAAGGTCCCGTCCGACGATCGGTGTTTCACTGTGTCCGGAGGACACAGTGGGCACCGGATCGCGGTGCTGTGCGCTCCCAGGGAGCTGTGCGCTCCCAGGGAGAGTGCACAAGCAGGGTGCAGGGAGGCCGGTTATAAACGGCCACCCGACCCTGCACTGCCACCATCCGGCTGTTTATATACAACGGCCGGACGGGAGGTGGTTAATGCAGTGGAGAGGGATTAGAACCCGTCAGTTTTTATTGCTGTCTGTGTCCCCATTACACCCCGGTCACATCAAACCCGACTTTGAAATCATGTTACTTACAGTGAAGTCGCACGATTTCAAAGTTGGGTGAAATTCCGATTTCATGTGCGATTTGCAAGACATCTGACACAGATGTCTATGCAAATTGCACCAAAAGTAGTGCTTGTATTACTTAGAAATCGGTGCGGCTCCGACCAAGTCGGAATCGCACCAATATAACCACTCTAATTGCGGACAGTAGGGTGTGACTTGGCATGCGATTTGCAAGTCCCATAGCATGCAAATCACACCCGATGTGTTAGGGAGATTAACCCTCTGCAGTTGTCCTCTTTACCATGGTCATTGAAAGAAAATCCCAAATGTTGGGTTGTCCCCAGAAAAGGAATAGAGGGGACAACCAGGATGGAATGATTTTCTCTCACTTCCTGATTTTGCTATGGGACAGAAAGTGAAGAGAAGTCTCCTCAATGGGACACCGATTTAAAAAAAAAAAAAAAAAACACACCTTGCATAGGTTAGATGTCTCCCTTGCTCTATCTAAAATGAAAGTTCTACTTTAATACCAGCTATTCAACGGTCTTTATGTGTTTGAACCAAGCTCCTAAAAGAGTATGGACTTTGTGAAAAGAAAACAAATATTATATTCATTTGGCTGGATGCAGCATTGATCTGATGCTGCATCTGTCCCCCCCGCCAGCTCTGCAGCGAGAACTGAGTGATCAAACACCGCTGATCGCTCAGTTCTCCCCTCCACTCTGAGCAGAGAGCCATGACTGTCAGTCTCCCTGGACTGCTGGGCTGTGGAGGGGGTGGGAGGGGCTGGCTCAGGCTCTTGGAGGATCACTGAGAGGCTGAGCAAGGTGCTAGTCCAGGCTTCTGGGTTGATCCCGACCATATGGTCAGGTTTTTTTTTTTTCAAAGCCTGGACCGACTCTGTGACATCAGCTGACTTTAGCCCACTGTTGGCTGAGAATGGGTCAGAGGAGTGCAGAACAGACTGCACTCCTGTGATCCATAGAAGC